TTCTTCGCGGGTTAGGAGCAGCAACCAAGGGGGAGGATTGGGTTGCACAGTCTGCTATGCTTACCCCAACCGTAGTGATTTTGGTTGTCACCATTTCCTCAAAATTGGCTAGTAGCTGGTCATACTTCTGAGATAATAGGAGCACGCTTTTTATCAGTGGGATCGATGTGCATTCCACACAGAACCATAGCGAGACTGGTTTGTTTAATAACTTGACCTGACTAAGTTTAACTCGGAGGCACCTCGCATGGAAGAATTTGCAACAGTTACGGCACAAAATGCCCCCCTTAACAAGTTTGGAGCATGATCCACATAAGTCTTTAGTCTGTGTTACACTGGGCATCACGCTTGAGCAAATGTTACGAACCATTTGAATGACTCACCCTCTATGGTAAAAGATCGTTCTGTTATTGACGTTGTCGGTAGGATCACAGTGTTCACGTTGCAGTTGTGTGCTTGTAGGCTGTCCTCTCTGGCGTGCCAGTCGAATGTGTCAGCTTGAACGTGGGGCAGAATACACGAAGGTGTGATTGAGAATTTTCGTGGTTAAGCCTATGGATCGCGCCAGGTGAATTTGCTTTGAGACCTGTAGCTGCACCAAGCAATGTTGGATTTGAACGAGTGAAAGTTCGTTCGGAAGCCGTTGAAATGTTCTATCGAGTGAGACCAAACAATGTCTCCAAGGGTTGGAGTTAGGCAACTTTTGGCGCTTAGATATCGGCGAAACACTTCCTGGAAGTTAGAAATCAGGGTAAATGTAGGATGCACTGGAGTATACCTGGGAAACTGGTATCACAAAGTAAAGCTTGTAAAAGCATGACGAATGAGTATGGATCCGAAGATATGCGACAAAATGTCGCTGAACCACAGTTAAAAAACCACGAGTGCACATGTGAGCGATTAGCACGCAACTTCTCTGAAAGTCACTTCAGCATCAGAACTGCAGTCGGTGGAGACACAAGCGGAAACCACAAACAAACAGCGTCTAGTACTATTGCCTGACTGACCCTTAGTTGCTGTCGTCAAACGGGCTGCAAATAAACGGCTGCTCACGGGAATCCAATCAACCAACGATGACTCAGTCCTGGGAGCTGAGAACAACGCTCATCTCAACATGAACAGTGGTTGCCGGATCAACGTCTCCAGATGCGTGCAAGCAATTGCGAGAAGATATGTAGGGCGCAGTTAGTTCAACAAATCGATGAGGGTCATTGATCCTAGTTTCGGACACGCAAGCCCCGTCAGTACCAAGCGTGTCCAACGCGTATGCGAATGCAGCCTGTTGACCAGTTTGTCTTAACGTGCGAACTAGCAGTACCGCCGGGGACGTGGGACTGCGTATCCTCAGTAGGGGGGTTGCCGATAGGCCTCCAGGGGTGGTGCAGGAAGATAGTTGGAGATGGCTGAACTGCAGTGGCATTGCGACTGTTGCCAATTAAGCTGGGAAATATAGAAAGTGAGCTATGAGGGCTGGGAGAGGAGTAGGCGAAACAGGTGAAAGAGAAAAGAGGCGCAAGCAGTAGCATGTTTTCGTTTATCCACCCTGCTGTCGGCAGCAGATAGGACGACACTTGATAATCTGCGCGAAGGCCGATGCGGGATGAGGTTGAACTTTGAAGAAATCGTCATGGTTTTACATGGGCGGATAACATTGCCATGGCGCCCAGACCTAGACAGGAGGACGATTAGGGTTTACAACTAAAGCGTTTGGCTCAAAAGCCTGTCCGAAAGGCAATGATTCGGTCTTACGGAGAGAAACGCCATCCTATTCCCAACATGGAGAACCAGTATGCTGAGTTTGTCTGACCTCTAACTAGTGACCAACCTGGTAGGAGTAGCTCTGAAGGAGCCCGGGGAAACCACTCCGTATAGCTCAATGGGTCAAAGAAGTACGTAAACCGTCGCACCACTTTAAGTTCCTGTCTCGTTGCGACGGGTCGGGGCTTCTTCCATCCGGTCATGGGAGCCCAACCTATACGAACAACTGGAAGTCGTAGCCAGTCTCACCTTTCTTCGGTAAGAATAGCTTGCATCTTCGGGTACTATGATCTCTCTTGTTGTAGTTTCCTATTGAGTACTCGTATCGATCTCCTTCTGTCGCCTTTTATTGTATTCTGTCGACCCGAAGCCTTAAGGAGCACAAGGGTGCCTTGTAATCTGAAGACGCTGGTTCGAGCCTGTGTAGAGATCGGGCGACCCTCGCAGTATCCATAGCCCACTTGCAACTGTTGGTGGTTGCGCAGTAGCGAAGCGTCGGTACTGCGTACCGGTGTACTGCTGAATTCTGCCACTGTATGTATGCATGTGCTTGACTGAGAATACACGAATTAAATCGAATTCTGGTTATCTCATGACTTCAAGTTCTTCAAGTGAATTAGCCGCTTGCAATTTAGACGAATCTGATGCTTGCAACATCAAGCTACACATTGGTACTGTTTAAATGCTTTCATCCTTATCAACTTCTCATCTCTTCGGTATTTCTGAACGTTTTGATGTCTCCACATGCATGACTCTTCCAGACTTTCTCTTACATATGCAGCCTGTGCCCTCACCTTGCTCTTCGGAGTATAGAGGCTGATGCGATTGATTGGTTCTCCATAGCCAAGCTTATGATATTGAAGTTGGTTCACGCATTCGGTAATCTATGCACCGCATGTTCTGTGAAACAGATGACTCCTACATGTACTGATTGAAAGTGCCTATTTGTGGTGAACGTCCCGCTTTTCGCTGTTGGTGCCTCACGCGCGGGATAGCTAGTTAAATTCGGATGGTTACGTCTTAAGAGCCGTAGCGACAATACATTTGTGCACGGGAACTGAGACTGGTGACGAAACGCGTAACCTCGCACGATTCCACAGAGGCCCATGAAAGAAAGACTGATTGGTACCAAGAATACTGAATACTGAAATTAGTGAGCGAGAAGATATACATTTGTGCTGCTCCACCTGCACGGAATCACATCGCTGACCCTGCGCGGTGGCAGCTTATTACAGCTGTGATACGCTCCCTATGCCTGTACTCCGCAATGTGAGCGTCAAGGAATCTCCTAAATTCCGACACCGATTTCGCCTCGACTTTTATCTCCGGCAATTTATTTCATTATTTCACCACAGGACGCTCGAAGCATAGATGGTGAGTGATACGCCTCAAATCCGCTACCACTAGTTTGTACCGGGGTCCGCATGTGCTGCTTGGTGCGCGAATGTGCAGCAGCGGCCTCAACATAGGGAGGTGGCTCAGGTGCAGTATCCAGTGCGTCATAATGAGACCAACTCGAAGCCGACGATATGACAGAGTATAAAACCCTAGTCTCCTACATAGGTCCTCGTACCACGGATCCCCTTAACTGGGTTGAGCCGGGTAGCTACATGCTGGACCCGTTTCAGCGTCTGCACCTCACCTATTGCGATCGGACAATAGGCAGGTGAGCCGTACTCAAGCACCGGTCTTATCATGGAAGAGAACAGGCGAGTGACAATCTCTTCAGACCAAGTGCAGGAACTGCGTCTAAGTACCCAAAGTAGGCGTAGTCCGTTTCCGTACACTCTGTTCGTGTTGTCGACGGACTTCAGATCACAGCGGGAGAGTACACCTAGATCCTTTATGGAACTGGTGGGATGCAGCGGGTGGCCGGCCAAGGTGTACGCACGCCCTTTGCCATCCTTCTCCAAGAGTTCGCTTACTGACTCAGCCTTCGTATCTATAACCCAACAGCATATCAACGTAAAGCATAAACTACATGGAAAAGTGAATGTCTTGACACTTAACAACGATTTCCAGAAGGTGAGCTCAGCTATGCATTTTGACTCGCCTACTAGGGAGGCAGGTTCAGTCGAACTGTGGGCCAACTTTGCGAGTTTCGCAACGGCAGTGTGTGTATTTCTTGTGTGTGTGTGTGTGTGTGTGTGCTAATTTCTGGAATTTCACTCTTTATGGATTATGATTCCTGTGTTCTACTTCTTTGATGAATCGGCCGGTGGCCGAGCGGTCTGCACGCCTTGCTTGTAATCATAACGTCACCGTTTCGAATCTGCGTCGGGGTGAGCGTCCTCACGGTATACTCAGCTTGCGTGCAACTGGTGTTGGTCGCGCGGCAGCGAAGCGCCGTTACCGCGTACAGCTGGCGATTTATCTTATCTTTGATGAATGACGCGTGGGAATTATTTGTTGAACAAGATTATGGCTTCAGAATTGCTACTGCTCGGTACACCCCTTTTCACTGAAAAAGTTGAATAGACTAAACTTAAACTTGTTGTTGCCCAACTGACTTTTATCCTAGTAATTAGTTATCTTCGGTATACCAGAACGAGCTTAATCGCCGTCTATACCAATGATGGATTCGGCTTCCATATGTTTAATTATTGACTACTGGGTCTTTTAGTTGCGGTTACTGCTACTGTTTGCCAACATTTGCCTAGGTAATTTTGTGAGTGAAGGACTGTTAGGTGGATAAACTTCCTGGTACAATGAGTTTGTTGGCGGTTATTAGGCGCACTGAAATAAAGACCTGACCCCCGGAGCCTTTCAGTTGATCTTAGATCATCAACTCCCGAAACAAGTGTTATTACGGCATTTGCAACTACCGCTCTATTGCGGATAACAGCCTGACTGTAAATGTTTTACCTTGCCGCTTTATTTATCGGGCCCACTCAGTCACCCCTATGAAAAGCTCCTGATCAAGAAAAACTTGTACTCATTGTGATTCTCGCTACTGTCTGCTATTTAATGCGCCTATTTATGATGGCAAGAAAGTTCAATTCTAAACGGAGACAATACACTGTGTGAACTTTTCGGCTGGTTTCTTTTTTGCATACTTACTGGGTATTTTGTAACTGTGCTTTACTTGCATGAAAAACAGCTTGAATTTGTGCGATTTCTCAGTCCATCCTCCAGTGTACCACAGCTGTCGATTTGTTTGTCATATTTCGATGATATGCCTACGAGCTGTGCTTGTTTCCGCATTATCTGTCACATCTTAACTTCGTCTCCGACTTTCTCAGGTCCACTGCTGTACCACTTTTCCGACGTTCCCGGGGAAGAATCTTTGGAGTTGAGCCACGACGAGCTTGTCCTGGCCATTCGGCGGATCGGCTTCGAAACTATTGTACGTCTTATGTATCAGTTCCCAATCACACAATAGCACATCCACTCCTTTTCTACTTGTCCATAACGGATCACCACCGCAGTCTTCCCCCCATATGCCACTGGCGTACTTCAGCCACACTAGTGTCTGCGTTAGGAGAGCCCCGCTTGATCAGTTAGTTGCGTTTTCATTCTTTTCCGTCATGGAATCTTGGCGTTCTTTTTGTGGTCGGTCGTATCAATCGTCTTACAGAATCAGCCGACTGGTATGCGCGTCTGGGTTGCAACCATAAGGTCACCGGTTTGAATCCGAATGGAGGCGCGGGCGTCCTCGCGGTATACTCAGCCCACGCGCGACTGGTGCTGGTCGCGTGGCAGCGAAGTGCCGTTACGGCGTACAGCTCGTGATTTACTTTACTTACCATGTGCCTCATCGCCACCTATGCCTGTGTATGCTTTCTGCTTTCTTTTTGATTTGTGATCACATAACCAGTAGGCACCTGTACGATGTGTCTGTGCATGCCTACTCTGAATGCGGTGACGCTGCTTGTGAGAGGTCGCATTGAAGATGGATGTCTCTTCTAGCTCCACTTAGAACAATGTACAATTCGAGGTGTTTCGCTCCGTCCGAAATCCTGTTTATTTAAGAAGTGAGGTTAAACCGTTGAACTAATGGTCCAGGTCTATAATAATCATTCTCAGATCGATATACCCACGAGCAGTCCGAATCAGCGTTGCCCAGTATCTGCGCCATAAGTTTACCATCAAGCATCTTTTAAAAAACGAACTATGAAACACACTGAAAGAGTCCAAGTGAAACGAAAATGTATTGTTTCGACCGGATGAAATTAGCTGGGATTGTCCTGATGAATCAGTCGAGGTATATTCATGAGCTGAATACTCTTCTTTGCGACTTAGCGAAATTCTGGAGAGGCACAGTATTCTGGCAATCGAGTAGTCCATAAACGAACTCCTGCATTGCGTGAACTGAGGGCACACTCGACGCTTTAGTTTTCGAGCACATTAGACTGGCTAGCATTATAATTTCGATGCTTTATGGCTTACCTGACATCCAAAAAGGATTGAACCGAATATTAGATATATAGATTTGCGCACCTAATTGTCAGCCCTCGGTAGCTCAGGTGGTAGAGCAGCGGACCGGAAATTCGTGGACCGGGGTTCGACTCCCCGTCGAGGCATATTATTGTGCGTGAATTTTAATCGTGACTTCTACTTTCTACAAACTTTACCCTACTCACAAACTTCCAATATTAGATATATATTAACCGCTGTATCGTTCAACTGTCGGATGTATTGTCAAGGGTTTGGGCTTAGTAGAGCATACCCCAACCGGGCACACTTCACGGGCGCTTTTTGTTTCTTTGACCCATTAGAGCAAATCGAACTGACTGGATGGAAAATATTCTTTTTAGCTGTGATGTCGCTTTTGATCAATATACCATTAGAAGAGACGGTAGATTATCTGTGCGATTTTATCCACTTGCGCCGCATCTATATCGGCATCACGCAAGACCAGTTGAAGGAATTACTGCTAACGTGCCTTCACCACCGCCTGTGGACTGTATCCTCGTTGTTCTTCCTCTGTCTCTCTTTTGAATCTTATCGAAATGTCAAAAACGCCTTTATACTCTCTTCCATTTTTCCTGAAGCCGAGGTTCTTTATAGGCTAGTCAACTATCTAGCATTGAGTATGCGGGTGACATAGCTCTCTTCGGAACGACTCAAGCTGTGCTATGTTAACGCTAATGTTTAGACTGACGTGTAACACTGCGTGTTTTGGCATGTGCTTTGCATCTTCATTCAAAATGCTGTTACTGAACTGGAACGACGCGCCGCCAGTTTAGCTAAACATTGAACAACCGGTCAAACTAGTTGATTAGCTTATTTATTTAGGTAACTGTACCACTTCTGTAGTCATGTTCTCGAAGTGAGTACCACATGCATTGCTAAGGCCTGCATTACTTTTCAAAGCCTCTGTCTTTTCTATGGACACGGCGGGATGTGAACGTATTGGTTGGGGGAAGGGTTTATAACACATCTCGCTGTACTCACGGACGCCGCGGATTTTTGAATCACTGTGTGCTGGATACTACTTTTGCTTCGGATTACTGTGTTATAAGTGTTCTTTCAGTGTGAATTGTGCACCAATATTCTTCTTTTGGTGTATTTTCCAATCGTTGCAAATTTGGTGGATATTCCTTGGCTAATTCCAGAAATCTCACTGATGGGCCCAACTCCCATCTCTGTCTGCCATCTTGGATTTGCTCTATCTTGTGATGCCGTCTCAAGCTACTTACGCTTCGTGTTCGAAAGTTGTTGGACATAAGGCTCATTCACTTCGGTGCTTCGGTTACGATATTTTGTTCCATATTGGCTTGTCCGTTGATGTACTTCGGAAACCTCTCGACATTCGACATCAGTTTTTCCAAGTTATATGTGATATCTATCGCGGTGCAAGACATCAGAATTCACAGTGATCGCCAACAACTACGGGAAAACCTCTCTTCCAGACAGAAACCAACCGTTCACCACTTTGGGGTTCAAACACCCTCGTGAAAGTACCTCTGTCACCTCGCTTTCCTTTGACACTCCGCGATCTGCACCACCAACAGCGTCTTCGACCCCGGTCGAGCCTCAGATTCAATGTTCCACACCGATTGAAGACTCAGAATCGGAACCTACGAAATACCGGCACACTGATCGGTCGGTGAATTTCTCAAAGCCTGTCTGTGAACCTCTGAACACCGAGGATCCATGGACCACTCAAAAGCGCAAGGGCCCACGTAATCGAGTTCAGGCGTCCTCTGCTGATAAACAACTACCCAAACCGATAAGCTTCACTAGTCCTGCTTCCACAGGTTCATCACCGATTTCGCTGAGGCGTCATAATCGTGTGGTTTTCCACGTACCAGAGTCGAAAGATGTATACCCTCAGATACGCTATGAGCACGATGTTGAGTTCCTCCAGGGTATTATCGATAGACTCTTGGATGTGGGTGAAGACAATGTGACGATTAAGCGGGTACTCCGACTTGGCCAGAAAACTAACCAGTCATGTCGACCTCTGAGAATCACCTTTGTAGATCACCATGTACCGCAGCTCATACTGTCTCGTCTGTCAAGGCTGAAAAGTATATAGGTTCACATTCGCCGAGACTTAGAACCCTCAGTCAGGGATCGTTTGAAGACTGCGGTCATTGAGCTCAAACGCCATACAGAAGGTGAGCCTGACAAATTGTAAGTTTTCGGGTGATCAAGAAGGGTTTACGAACCCGTATCAACCGGTTGCTCAATCTCCAGGCACTTCCCGCGGTACCTCCCAGGATCTCCGTGTGGAATTCGCCAACGTGTGCAGCCTAATGAACAAACGTGACTAACTGTGCCGGCTCCCTGTCTTGGAGCTGTTGGACGTTTTAGGACTTGCAGAGACTTGGCTGAACTCCGACGTCATACCCCACGAAGTCGCGTTGTCAGGATAGTCTTCTTTCCGATGCGACCGAAAATCAAAGGCTCACGGTGGTGTTTTGTTGTACCTAAAATCGTCACTATCTGGCAAACCTACCAGCACTTATCGGCGCGAGGATAACTTATACGAGCAATTGTGGTGCATAATCCACCTCAGACGCGCAGAACTAATAGTGTTATCTACCGCAGCCCATTAAATCGTTGTTGCGATTGGTTACCACATATACAGAAGCACATGAGCCGCTGTCATTTCTTACTATTGGGAGCTCTAAATTTACTTAAGATATGCTGGCCAGACGTTCGGCTTCTTCCCGATCATGGCGACGTTGAGGCTTTATTCTCTAAGTTGAATATTGAAATCGGGGCAACGCAACATGTCATCCAACCGACGCACGTAACTTCGCACTCGGCATCTTGTCTGGACTTAGTGTTTACGAGCCGCGAGCAGCAGTTGAAAGAGATCAGAGTCCTCGAACCTCTGGCGAACAGTGACCACTGCTCCATTGTGGCATGCATAGAACTGCCGTTACCGTGACATAACCAACGGAAACCAACCTACAACTATTGGAAGATGGATTTCAACGGGCTCCTCCAAGCCGCAAATCAGACTGGTTGGACACTGCCACAGCATGCATCGCTTGAGGTCTGTTGGCCATTGATGAAAGGGAAGCTTAACTCGCTGTGTACTTGGTTCGTTCCCCTGAAGTATTAAAAAGTCGGCCTGTCAAACCGTATTGGCTTGATAGGGAATATAGACAGTTAGTGCGACGGCACCACAAACTTTGGGATAAATACGTCAGCTCGGATTGTGATGAAGATTACGCGGTGTACAAGAAACAGCGTAACTTATGTAGCGCCGCAAAGATCAACAAATGCCAACAGTTCGAAGAGGATCTAACATCCTCGGCCACAACTGCACCCAAAAGAATATTTGCCTACTTGAAACGTCGACTGAAACCTGGGGGCGAACTACCGGTCTCAGAGAGATTGGACGAACAAACGCTCATTTCAAGCGCGGAGCGCGCGGACGCCTTGGCTACCCACTTCCTCACCGTATTTTCCAATAAACCGGCGACTGTTCCATTACCGGTACAGGTTGCGCCAGTCTTGCTCGACAGCCTACGCTGTGATGCAGTCGAAGTGTTTCAGTTACTCGTCAACCTCGATACTGCAAAGGCTCTGGACCAGACGGACTTCACCCACTAATACTCAAGTCCCTATCGAATGTCATCTCATCAGCCGTGACAAACCTATTCAATAAATCACTCTCTGAAGGATCTGTCCTCAACGACTGGAAATACTCCATATTGAGACTGCATTCCAAGTAAAGTAGAGAACTATAGACCGATCTGTTTGACTTCCATATTATCCAGAGTTCTCGAGAAGGTTGTGAAAAGGTGTCTGCTGTCGCTCTTGGAATCGATGGCCGTATTGATTGCAGCGCAACACGGCTTTACGAAAGGGCGATCATGCATCACCAACTTGATGTACGCAAACCACCAGTGGGTACGAGCTCTCAATGAACAGAAGGATGTT